AGCTGAGTGTATAGGAAAAAGTTAAAGGAAAATCTGAGTGTCATAACAAACTGGAGTGAAACAGTGAACATATATGACATTAAGATAAACAAGTGTTACAAAGTTACATGAAAAGATCCCTGTCAGTGAGTGTGATACCAACGCAATTGTACGTCATTTACACATTACTAGTTACATTGTATCACCCTCTTATTTAGTATTTATTTCAATAAATCCTCTTTTATCCAAGTTTATACCAGCTCTGAATGAAATACTTCCCAGGACCACATAGTTCCTCGTAAGCCTTAAACTCGGTCTACCAAACTAGTAAGAGCAAAAGTAAAAGCATAAAGGTTTGGAAATCCTTAAAATTTCCTGGTGGCAGCAGAATCTACCCTGTTAAACAAAATAAAGAGAACTTTTAAAGTGAAACTGGTCCTCCCCAATAAGGAGGCCGTCACACCCCTGCCACCCCACCCCCGTGGATCCCTTACTTACCACTTCAGCGGGGCCAGGGAAGCTGGCGGCGGGGCTCTCTGGGTTTCCCCCGAGTCGCAGCGCTTCTGCGTGGGCCTAGGGGACCTGGCTGTGGGGCTCTCCGGGCCTCCCCCCGGCCCCAGTGCTTCTGTGTGGGCCCGGGGGACCCGGCTGTGGGGCTCCCTGGGCCTCCCCTCAGACCCAGTGTTTCTGCGCGGGCCCGGGGAACCCGGCTGTGGGGCTCCCTGGGCCTCTCCCCAGCCACAGTGCTTCTGCATGGGCCCGGGGGACCCGGCTGCGGGGCTCACCAGGCCTCCCTCCGCTGCAGTGCTTCTGTGCAGGTCCAGGGGACCCAGCGGTGGGGCTCTCCAGGGGACCAGGCGGCGGGGCTCTCTGGGCCTCCCCCTGGCCCCAGCGCTTTGGCGCGGGGAGCTGGGGGCAGGGCTTGCCACGCCACCATTTGCACTGGCTCCTGGGCTGTCAGAGCAGCGCTCCAGTGCGCTCCGGCCCCAAAAGACCCCTGTTCAACAGTAGTCACCCCACAAAAGCCGGTATGGCTTTTACAATCTGGGAGATTATGAACTGGGCTATAATTTCCCTGAGAAAAGGCTGCCATGGGAGGGAAGGAGGGAAAGTGGAAGACAAGGGGGAATATAAAGGTAAGTTGGCTGGTGGGTGGGAAGGAGAGAAGGAAGCAGGGAAAGGGGAGATCATGTGGAAGCTTTCAAGAAAGGGAAAAAGGAAATAGTGGGAAAGAGGAAAATGAAATGACCCACACAAGTCCTTGCAGGTCCCTTGTTTATGCATCTCTGTTTCATGGACTGAGGAGGAATTCAACTGTACATTTGTCTTCTATAATGCTAAACATGCAATTATAAGGATTGTATAGTGAGTCTTACATCATATTTAATCAGTTGTTTCGTATATAATTTATCATTCCAGTTTCCCCGTGTTGTGTATTTTATCTACTGACACAATATTAAACTGTGTACAGGTTTTGACTTTTTACTCAGTAGCTTGACTGAGCTGATGAAACTTTGCTGGCTCTTTTTTTGTTATGAATGCCCATTTGTTGTTTCTTTTTCTTTGTCTTTTTTAGTTTGGATGCAATTAAACATAATTTTTTCTTCTTCTTTGTCTGTAGTTATTTACAAGACACAAACCTTCAAAAGGCCTTTATGTCTATGGAGATGTTGGTAAGTTTGAAGTGTTTAACCAATATGTTTAACTAACTTGTATCTAAATGCTTATTTAGCTGAATGTTTGCAAGTTTCCTCCGAATTTAATAAATGGGTATAATTTCAAATTTTTATTTTTTATGGGAAACAATCTGGCTAAATAAATAGATGCTTCCTTTCTTAACTGATTTGTGTCTTGGTGCAAGGTAAATATAAGTATTGACAGACATTGAAAAACAATTGGATCTATCCATATTAATGTTGTTTCATTTTTGGTACCATATTGCAAAGGAACCTCGTGGTTCAAAGGGAAATATAACTCTGAATACCAATTACTAGGGTAAATGTGGAGAGGAGGGCTGTTAGCGAGCTGTTTTGTGAGTTTCCCAGAAGTGTCTGGCTGGCTATAGTTAGGAACAGAATGCTGGACTGGATGGATTTTTTAATCTGATCCAGTAGGGTGTTCTTACGGTTGGTGTATTTTTTTGAAGAAAATATACACTCCCCATTTATTCATTGTGAAGAACACCGGGGTTATTTCAAATGGAATCAACAGCTATGTTTGATAATATATGAGGTTCAGATTCCAATTCTGATAATGCGAACTTTCCTATCCATGTAATCTGAAGTCTCGCTTTCCAAAGATAATGATTTTGTACTGTTCAGATCACAATTATGATTTCATTAGCTCAATGCTAATGAACAGTCATTACTGTAATCAGTACATAGTGTTTCAAATTAACAACCTGTTGGGTATGTGTGTTTTTATTTGAAGGCACAGGAAAGACAATGGTGATGGACATATTTTATTCCCATATACAAGTAGAAAGAAAAAAGAGAGTCCATTTTCATGGCTTCATGTTAGATGTACACAAAAGTAAGTTTAAATCTTTCTGATATGTTGCAGCGTTGTATGGATATAATCCTCTGAGTTCTCAATTACGTCAGTCTCTGTCTCTCTCTCTTGTCTGTCTGCTTTTTATTCTTCAATTGTTCTGTTGGCACAGGTGGGGAGAGCTGTGATCAAAAAGCTGAGAGGAAATGGGTTGTTAATAGGCTGTTTGTTGGGAACATGTGCCCTTTCACCTAGGAGAGAGCCGTCTCAAGTAGTCCTTTCTTCTACAAACTGCTAAGGAAGTATGCAAGCTTCACTTATCCTGAGATATCTCAGGCATGGACCGATTTTATTGTCACACCTACTTTGCTTTGTCTGGAAAGTAGGTGCTGCACTTTCTTGCTGTAAGGCATAGGATGGGCAAATGAGAGTAAGAAATAGGGATGCAGCCTCCAGGTGGGGCCTGGGGATCTCCCGGAATTACAGCTCATCCCCAGACTACAGAGATCCATTCCCCTGGAGAAAATGGATGTTTTGGAAGGTAGACTCTATGGCATTGTACCCCACTGAGGTCCCTGTCCACCCCAGGCTCCTCCCAACCTGGAGCTGGCAACCCTACCCCCCACCCCGGTCCTCTCCCAGTGGCCGGGGGGGACCTGGCAACCCTGGTGAGCAACAAAGATTTGCTGTGATTGCCCCTTGGCCTAATTTGAGTTTCCCTTATAGTTTTCCTGCCTCCTTGCCCACCTTTCCCCTTTCAACTACCTCACCCTTTTCCTCAATTTGTGGACATGCTCATCCTTTCTTCCTTAAGGTCTTTGCATTTCAGTTAATTAACTACCCTTTTATCAAATACTGCTGAATCCTGGGACCTCATATTTCTTCATTGTCCTGCCTTCTTCAACCTCCCTACACCTTCAACCAATGCCATCTTTAACACTGCTCCTCCTGTTTCTAAACTTGGCAGTAGAGAGTTCTTTCTACCAAACCATCCTTCCTTTTACAATATTTGTACTAGTTTTCAGTTGTTGGACTACGTGTGATCATTTCCTGGGATGTAGTTCATAAGAACAGCACCTCTTTCCTTTCTCCATGACCACACCATTTTGTGAAGTTTTAAAATAGTTTTGTTTTACTAGTATTTTCAAAGACTTTTAAGGTTGTGTTCCTTCTTGTCTCCCACCCAATCACTAGCTGGTACATCTTCAGTGCAGAAGTGCTCTCTTTTTTGTAGATTGTACAGAAACTTGTCTTTCTGGTAATTCTCACTCCAAGCCTAGGAAGAGAAAAAATAGAACTGCAGTTACATGGGCTCATGCTATGGTATGAAATAAATACCGCAAAGTAGCAAAAGATGTTGGAAAAGAGAATCTTATACTGTCAGCAAGAATAGCTAATAGAGAGTGCTTAATATTACTATTTATGTTCATAATACAGATGAATAGCTCACACAGCTTTGATTTAATTGTGGTAAAGTTTCTGGAGATGTAAACCTAATGTTTATTTTTAGCATTGTTGAGTCATTCTAGCACATTTACTGAGTTTGTGTGTTCGTTGTGTTTATTTCAGGAATACATCGCCTTAAGCAGAGCTTACCAAGGGGAAAACCTGGGTTAATGGCTAAATCATATGATCCAATAGCCCCTATAGCGGCTGAAATAAGCGAGGAGGCTTGTCTCCTGTGTTTTGATGAATTTCAGGTAAGAAGTGCAAATTCACGTCCTCTTCCTGGAATGTAACAATGTACTTCAAAATATGTCCTAAGCCACATGAGAATTTCTGGCTGATATTGATTACCGGGATACTGTGCAATAAGGCAATCTGAAAACATTTGGAAATGTTAAATGTCTCATGGAAGTGCTTCCAAAAGTGTGACTTGCCTCCCTGCCTTGTCAGCAACTGTGTTCGGCCATAACCTAGATCAGGATCTGCAGTATGGACAGAGTTTCCAAATTTATGATTTAGAAACACAACATTGTCTTCCCAGATATATCCAATTTATTTAGTCCAATGTCTAGGACTCAAATTTATGTTCCTGGTTTGGAAAAAGCAGAGTAGAAATTGTACCGCTACCTTTGCAACTGCTGAGGATACTACCCATGATCTATGGCTAGAATTATATATTATTTCAACAACTGAGTGTTTCCAAATCCATGTTTGCTGAAAGTATGGGAATGTGAGGACAAGGGGTGAGAACTAATGGTAAGGAGAACATAACCTTTCTCATTAACCTTTCTAAGGTGCTTAACCGTAATCTTTCACATCCCCACCAAATCTCTGCTTCAGATGCTGTCCCAGGCTATCTCCCCTTATCTGATCTGGTAGTCACTGGGGGGGTCTCTGTAGGGGGGAAATAAGTGGGCTAATAAGTCCTCTCACTTCCTACCTGTCATTCTTCCCTGAAAATGCCCCTACCCCATGTTAGCATTATCATACATATGCAGGATTGGGGACTGCATGTTGGCCTTGTGAAGAGTAGTTCCATCCTGCTTTATGTTGAGAAAGAGTGAAATCTATACTGATTCGTGTACTGATCCTCAGGATGGCCTGAATGGCATGGGCAGTGTTGGTGCAGTTTTCTGGCCAGCACACTGGCTTAAATTATATGGAAAAAGACAAAGCAAAGGAGCTGTGGATGCATTCCTGAATTTCACCACTGCTGTAATCAATAGAGTGCTTTATTCAGCAGAGTCTACAAGCAGTGCTTTTGGTGACCTTCTCATGTTTTAAGACTTAAAACAAGATTGTTTATCTGCATTTCTGGGTGCTTCCTTTTGACAAGAGGCATTGTGAATTTATTCCAGTTCTATTGTTTAAGAAGCCCAGGATTCGAGCTGTCGTTCCTGACTGTAGACATTACTGTATGGAATCCTGCCACTTCCCATTTGCAATATACCAGTATTTTTTCACTTTGGCATGTGTAAATTCACAGCTGGGTTAAGAGTAATCAAGGTGGCACAAGGCAATCAAGTGTGTTTGTTTCCTGACAGGTGATAAATCTGTTGAGGAGTTCATCATTAAAATACTTGTAATCCCATTGTGTCTCCACCATATCCATTTTCTGAGCTATAGACCATTTGTAAATGACCAGTAGAGAATAGGATTATGATAAATAGCATGAATTAGCCAAATTATACCAGTCCAGCCTAATTTACTCCTTTGATAGGAATCTGGCATAGTAGACTATGGAGATGTAGTGTATGTAGTATACATTGACTCTAAGGCCTTGGATACTGTTTAATGATTAACTGAGCTAAGTGTAAACTCCGGTAATGTATTCAGAGGACTGTTATCATGCTGAAGTACAGAGAGGTATGATTTTGAAGAGGTAGTTGGTTGGACAATAGATGTGTGGATGGGGATGGTAGCTTTGGGACTGAGATACTGCAATGGTAGCCTTTTCAAGGGAGAAAAGGAGCATGGAAATTACAAAACACAATCATGTGAAGGGAATTATGAGCAGAGTACTGCACCACTGTGTATGTAATTTGTTGAATAATATTTAACGTATGCCAAATTGGTGGAAAATGCCATCAAGTTGCAGCTGACCACATAGGGCTTTCAAGGGAAGAGATGAACTGAGGTGGTTTGCCATTGCCTGCCTCTGTGTAACAACTCTGGACTTCCTTGGTGGTCTCCCATTCGAGTACTAACTCCCATTCAAGTACTAACTGCTTTGGTTAGCAGCTCTGTGGGGTTTGTCACAGTTACCAGCTTTTGCAGATCAAGACTTGAGACCTGACAGTGTGGCTTGCCAAGGGTCACCCACTGATTTTCAGGGAAACTCAGATCAGACATCAGGTCAGAGTTCCAGTACTCTTCTATTTTCTGTGCTGGTAAAAAGTATTAAGAGCAACCACTCACCAAGCTGGAGACCCAGTGTGGTGTAGTGGTTAAGAGCAGCGGACTCTAATCTGGAGAACTGTGTTTGATTCCCCACTCCGCCACACGAAGCCACCTGAGTGACCTTGGGTCAGTCACAGTTCTCTCAGAACCCTCCTCTTCCTCTTCTTCTTCCTCCTCCTCCTCCTCTGTAACAGCTAAGGAGAATCTGAAAGAAGACTGGATGATATTTCTATCAAGTTTCTTTATAATCCCTGGAAAATGGTTCTTTGAATTGACCACTTAATCAAGTGACTGGGATAGAGTGACAGGTGCAATCTCCTAAATCTTCGACATGGTCTCTGCTTCACACCCCTGGGATTCAGTGTGCACGCACTGGATCGATCGGTGCTGTAGCAAGCTCTATTTTAATGGATTTTCACGCCCAATCCCTCCGGGCATGCACAGGAACCCCACCGCGCATGCCCAGAGGGGTGGCCGCGGACATCCCACCAGTTCCTTTCTTTCTTTCTTTTTTAAAACAATTTTATTAGGATATAACAATAAGTCAAATTATACATCAACTTATACCTTTTTCTCCTAGTACCCCCCCTTCTGACTTCCCGCAGTGCTCCAACCTCCAGTCCAAATCTTATATTTTCCCTCTTTTTTCCATTCTTCAATATTAAAGTTCTTCAGGTAACCTATCTTTTAACTATTGTTCTTATATGTTTAAACTTACTCTAAATGTCCTTCTATCTTCAGTAGTTATCAAAGCAAAATAGATTATTTTTCACATCCCAGCATTTCTCTAAATATTCTTTAAAGTCTTTCCAGTCTGCAAAGAATTCTTCAGCTTCCTGATTCTTCAGCTTTCTTGTCATTTTGTCCATTTTCACCATAAAGAGTAACTTTTTTAACCACTCCCAAATCCCGGGAGTTCTTTCTTGTTTCCAGCATTAAGCATATGTCATTCTAGCAGTTGTAATCATATACCACATTAAAGTCCGTTTTGCAGTATTGACTTCTTCCATTTTAAGTCCCAGAAGTAGCATTTCAGGCTCCTTCTTAATTTTACATTTCATAATTTTCTCTATCTCTATATGGACCTCAGTCCAAAAGTTTTTTGCTTTGTCGCAAGTTCACCACATATGGTATAAAGAACCCTCTATTCTTTTACATTTCCAACATTTGTTTGACATATTACTGCTTATATTTGCTATCTTTTTTGGTGTCATATACCATCTATACATAATTTTATAGCAGTTTTCTTTTAAATTATTACATGTTGAAATTTTCATTGCATTTTTCCATACAAAATCCCAAGATGACATATATATTTCCTTATTCATATTAACTGCCCATTTTATCATCTGCTCCTTAACTGTTTCATCAACTGCTTATATTTGCTATCTTTTTTGGTGTCATATACCATCTATACATAATTTTATAGCAGTTTTCTTTTAAATTATTACATGTTGAAATTTTCATTGCATTTTTCCATACAAAATCCCAAGATGACATATATATTTCCTTATTCATATTAACTGCCCATTTATCATCTGCTCCTTAACTGTTTCATCTTCTGTATACCTTTTTAGCAATACCTTATACATTTTAGATATCATCTTTTTACCCCTTTCCAACCACACATTTTCAATTTCATTGTAATTTTTCCTAAACCCAAAATCTTTTCTATCTGTTTTAAACAAATAATAAATCTGTCTAAATTGTAACCAACCATAATTAAAGTCCAATTCCTCTTCTGCTTTCATGTCAAACGTCTTTCCAACAGGTTTCAAAATGTCTCTATATTGTAACCAATCCTCTCCTTTGTAACTCGAATAAGGCTTGATTACCTCTGCTGGTACAATCCAAAGTGGTCTCTCCTCTGAGAAAAACCTTCTATATTTGGTCCATGTATCAAATAACTTTCTTCTAATATAATGGTGCTTAAACAAATTGTCCATTTTTGTTTTCCCATACCATAGGTATGCGTGCCATCCGAATTTACAGTCATGACCTTCTAATGCCAACAATTTTCTATTGTCCAAGTTAATCCATTGTTCCAGCCATGTTAAGCATACCTGTCAGCAAGCTGCCATGGTTTATCAGATGTATATGTGCTTAACCTATAAGTGCCTGTAAGTGCCCTTTAACCCTGCTTTCCT